AGAAGAGATGAAAATACAATAGGTTCTCATGATAGTCCTAACTAACACAAAACATAGATAAATTAACTCTCATAGTACCAAATAATCTTTTAGCCTTTCAAGTATTTCTTCAGTGGAGCCTTGGAGAATCAATGGTCATATGCATTCAAAATTCATCTTCCTGCCATCAATTTTTACTCCTGAGAAGTGGGAGTAAAATCAGATGGAAGTTGCTCTTTTTTTTTTCTTTTTTTTTTTTTTTTTTTATAGGGTGCGTGTGCTCGCCAGAGAGACAGAGACAGAAAGTGAGAAATCACCCCCCAGGGGGATGGCCACACTGCAATCTCTTCTCCATTCTCCTCTTGGGATCTTGGGCATGCACTACACACACCCAGCATGAGAGTCCAGCAACATAGCCCTTATGCCAGCTTCTGGTCCTGGTCAATTTTTTTAATCACCATATTGAAGAGAAAAAACTATGTTTCTGTTGTTTCCCTTTACATGTAGTGACAAAGTTATATACATGTCCACATATGTAGATGTGTACACACATGAGAATATACAAATATAAGCAAATTAACTGAATGTGACAGATAGTACATCTAAGTGACTCTACTGAGTACATGCAGACTGAAGGAGAACAACAGCTGTGATACAATAAAGGTCTCAGAAGGCTTCTTAATGAGGACATTTAAGGTTGCGAAGGCTTTGGAATAAGAAAGACAAGTGACCATTTAGAGCAGAATTTTCTTATGGAAGATAAAAATGCTCTGAGTATGTGTTGGACTAAGAGAGAAACAAGAAATGTAGGTGAGTAACTGATGGAAGAACTTGACTATTAACAGGAACTGACTCTAGATAATACTGTGGTTTATAGCACTGGAGATTGTTTTTTTAAGTTTCACAAAGATATAAAGTATCCCCCAGAGAGTAATACTCAGGTTAATGAGAAACCAGGAACCTTTGAAAATAACAAAAATTATTAAAAACACAAAAACCAAATCCTTAAACTGGTATGATACTTCCTTCTCATATAAACTCTTCTTTAAGAATTACTTTTTAATCACTTCTTCATGAAAATATGTCATGATTTACTCTCTGATATTCAGCTTAAAGACTCTTTGGGAAATACTTCCCCTGATGTGATAACTATGTTTTTGTAAAACATTCTATATATCAGGCATAGTGAGAATTACATCACATATTTCATCATCATTCTGAGAAGTACTGCAGGGACTTCAAAAAACCTGTGAAAAAATGGAGTAAAATCTGACTTAATTTTGGTGCAAGAATTTTAAAACTCATGCAGTTTTATCATAATATACACTCTCCATGAACTTTTTGAAGACTCTTTTATATGTCTAGTTCTCATTTAAATTCATAGTCATTAACTTTTTTTTTTTAGTTTGCCACATAGGGTACATGCACTTGCCAAAGAAAGAGAGAAAGGAAAGAGGGGGGAAAGAAATCAAAATCACTATCAAAATGGGATGACCATGCCACAATCCCTTCATTCTCCTCTCAGATTTTTTGGCATAAATGCACCTGGTGGCTTTTTGTTTTTTTAATATGTCACTGGCTCTATTTCTTTATTATTTAATTAATTCCATTTGTTGTTGGTATTGTTGTTATTGTTGTTATTTGGCCAGAGAGAGAGAAAGAAAGGGAAAGCAACAGAGCAAGCCACCAGGTCCAGGACTTGAACCACAGTCAGCCATGTGGAAATTCAGAGCCTTTAACCACCATGCCACCTGCCAGTCCCAGGTGCTTTTCAAGCTGCCAGGTCCAGGACTGGAACTGCAGTCAGTCACATGAGATCCAGCTGCCTTAACCTCCACACCACCTGCTGGCTCCATGGTCATTCACTTTTTCCTATAGTTTGTTTAATTTACATTTAGTCCTTGTACATCTTTACAGCTTGCAACATGGTTTCTCCTAGCATGCATGTAGTGTATGTCAATCAAATTAAAGATATTACCACATGCATCATCAACAGAGAACTTCCCATTCTCCAGTCATTAACTTAACCAATCACAAGTTTTGATGCTTTGCTTTTTATTGTTACTATTACAGTAAGTATGCGATAAATAATACAAAATATAACTTGTACCAAGCGCTCACAATATAACAGATCTTTATCTTTTCAAATTTCAACAGCTATTACACCTACAAAATTTTCTACATCTGATAAACCACAATAAAACTAAACAATAATTTTTATAATGATTTTTTTTAGTCTTTCTGACTATTGGTAATGCCATATTGCCTTATGACTCACTTTATTTTTAATTCTCAAAATTGTTTTTATTCGAAGCCTAAATTTCAACCTAGAATGTATCAAAAACCTTCCAAATCTTTAATATTCCATTTTGATTTCCTATAGACAAAAATTAAATATGTGATAAAATTTAATATTACATGAGAAAAATAAAATACAGACATGAAATTTTCTTAATTAAAATCCAATCTTCATCTAGGATATATAAATCCATGTAAAAATTGAACAGAATGACAGTCCTTTTTTATATATAATCTTACTAGGTATACAGAAGGATATTTTGACCTCATGGAAGTTGCCTCTTTCTTTAGATGACAAAATTAAGAATACTGTGACTAATCGGCACCAATAATATCACATAATGAAACACTATCTAAAAAAAAATCATTTAAATGCCCTTTCTACGTGAGTCCAATTTAGAATTTGCAGCACCCGTTAACCCAACAGATTGCACTTTGAGCCCCACTGCCAGAGTCAATCCCACACAAATGAGCGTGTTAGTCATCAAGGGCAACAAAGAAAAGGCAAACAGTCCCATCCATCTAAATATAACATCTTCCCTAGTATGTTTTAGACCTGAACTGAAACACTGATATTTAAATGCATATACTCCATTAAATGCAAATACATTAGTATGCTTTGCCTTATGAACAGAAACTTTAGAGCACAAGCACCTATTTCATCAAATGAAAAGAGCCACCCTAAAGAAATGACATGAACGTCTTCCTCCTGGCTAACTCAATTCTCGCAGCCTTCGATACTTCTCCATAACCCCCTTCCATCCTCCACAGGTACACCCACATCCTAAATCATAATCTCTCTGGGAGTTTTATCATACCAACGCACTTGGACTCTAGCCTGTACAAAACAATTCCTTTCTTCTCATGATGAGAAACAGCAAATTTTATTATTCTGGGATTATTCTACCATAATAATGGTATTTCCTTCCCTTACCCCGGATCTTTCTTTACTACAGTCACTTCAAATTAAGTTCCTCCATATCTTAAAATAAAAGTCAATAAATGTATATATTAGTGATGTGTGTGTGTATGCACACACACATCACACACACACACACGAAGAAATACTTCAACTGAATGCATCCCAGGGATTCTGATTTCCTTTATTTTTTTTAAAGATTTATTTTATTTATTCATTCATTTATTTTAATTTGACCAGAAAGAGAGAGACAGAGAGAGAGAGACAAAGTGAGAAAGCAAGCTACCAGGTCCAGGACTTGAACCATGGTCAGTCATGTGGGAGTGTGCCACACATTAACCACCACACCACCTGCTGGTCCCCCTTTATTCTTTAATCTTACCTTAAAGCATGTGGATCCTTGACCCTCCTCACTAACTCTGTGTTCAGTATGTAATTCTTCCACTGATTCCACTTCAACAAGTACTTTTCTGCCACTTCTCTCTCTGTTCCTATCACATAACTTCTTCCACATATTGTCTAAGCATTAGTTTTCATTCTAATGTCTCTCTATGGAGAGTCACAGTTTATAGTCCATTGTAAAGGAGAACTAGCAATTGATTTCATTTTCCATGAACTGTTTAAACATATTTTAGTACATACAACTTGGATAGAATGCCTACAATTCAAAATCCCCTTTTGGGAAGAGAAGCTATTTTCTCAAGGGATTTATACCTCCCTTGAAGAATTCACTGAAAGCCAGGAAAAGGTTAAAAAGAATCTGAGTGTGTCATTGGTAATGAACTACTCTTGCTCAACTACAACTCAATGTTCTAAAATAAGTTTTCTGCTGATATCCATTGAAAATTATAGCTCCTTTTGTTTTAATATTCATTTGTTTTTCAGATACTTGGCGATTTGCCAAAAATATAATCTAGTCAGTTCTAAGCAATTATACAGTACATTTCAATTCACATATTATACATATATATATTCATATATAAATAATGATGTGTTATCTTCATAGCCATATAGAGAATACTCAAAGGAAGTATTGTTTCCTTCGCAATTTCAAACTCGCTGAAATTTGTTTGTACAAATCTCTTTAGAAATAGAGATTCATAAAACATACACACATTTATATCTACATCTATGCTCACATTTTATTTACATGCTGATATCATTATAATATTTGCATGAGTTTTTATATTCTTAGGACAACATATGTAAATAAATCACACAGTAATTTAAAAATTTTGTGACTAAATATGCAATCTGTTAAGTATAATCAGGCATGCTATTCAACAACTGCATGATATAATTCATCTTTCCAAAGAAAATATGTGTTTTGTATGAAGATGTCTTCATAAAACTCAGCAATATCTTCCAGGAGTTTGTACAAAAATGTTTCACAATTCAAAAAATAATATGTAAAGCTATCTGACTAATGCTTAAATGGGGGAAAAAAATCTTACCACTCACCTTGACAAGAATCTAATTCTCCTACTGCCTATCATTTGTAAATATGACACACCAGTTGGAATTATTCCAAAGAGAACAGTCTTCTAGTCAAGATCCTACTCATATAGTAGCATAAATGAAAAAGTGATATCATAAAATTAACCACTACCTACAATGTTCTGATAAGCTATTATGTATTTTTCATCTTTTTTGTCTTATAGTGATCATCATAAACACTTCTATATTTCAAATAGTAACTTTGATGTTTCATTCAATATCTAAAACCAATAATCAAAATAATGGACTGGTTTCATGTATCAGAGTTAAACAGACTGGAAAAATATCAATTCAAAATAAGCATTACCTTGGTCTGATTTTTCAGAAAAGACAGCAGCTCTCTTGCCAGGTAACACCATTTCTTTGGGTTCTGTGGGCAAAGAGAAAAGAGATTAATAAAAACAACCTTTCTTTTTACTCTAAGTGCTTCTTAAAGAAGATTCATTAGTAATAAAGGTCAGAGAAGAAAATCATTTAACAAAATATTCAGCTCCATCAGCAGCTGCCTCAGGAACCACTTCGTTTAAATGCCAAATAACCTTCCCAAAGGTCCGTTCTCCCCTGCAGCTGAGAACATGGGTGACTTCCACAGATACTCAGAACTATTTCCTTTGCTTCTCTTTTCTGACATGGCAACAAAACTGGCACCAAGAAAGGAATTAGCTTCTATCACTCCAAAAGATGAGATGTAAGCCATGTTGGGAAAGAACATTTCCTTGAAATACAATGGAAATAAATAGAATTTGCGATTATCTAAACTTACTTTCCTTCCTCTCCTAGTGAGTCTGAGTTTTAAAATACCCATGAAAGTTTGGGTCTTTCCACAAAAATGCTAATGTGAGATACTGTAGGATGACTCTAAATAATTGCGGATTACACTCCTTATGAGATGCAATGTCAGAACACTTCTATACTGCAATGAGGAAGAAAGTACTTTATAGAAGTCAGAAGTTATGAAAATATATCTTATTCCCTCCCTTAGCATATAACAATCTTGGAGAGTATCCCATAAAAGATTTTACTGCATCATTATCTGAATGTTCAGATTGGAGGACAGGAAATTCCAGTCTGAGCAATTGGTTTTTAGAAAGGACTGTCATGAAGATAGGTAAAATTTTAAATTTACCCTTTAAGAAAGTTATTTAACTAAACAAATATTAAGAGTTAAAAACAACCTTGATTAAGTGATGGTAGCAGTCATTATTAAGTCAGGTAACTACATGGCACATCTTACCAGCTGTGTGACCTTCGGCAAGTAAATTAAATTCTGTAAGCCTTTAGTTTTCACCTGTAATATGGAAATCATCCTATCTACTCCACAGCCGATATGATACTTGAGAAAAACACATAAAAAGGACGATACAGTACCAAACTAAACATCAGTAAGTGTTGGCCAATATTAATTATCAATATCACTATTATTATTACCACTGTTCTCCTTTAGAAATGATCTTACTACCCTGTCAAGAATCACTGCCTTAGGGAGTCACATGATAACATGATTAAATCATAACATACTGGGCTTTACCTGGTTTTTCTCTTTATCAATAAGACTCTGTAGTGATAAAAAAAAAATGAACAGTCATTTTTAGTCTTTGGGCAAGTAGTTGAAAAAGACTGAGCAGCATTTCAGAAAGATTAGTAAGCTGTCAACCACTTCACTGCAGTGGCTCCCCTTGATTTTACTGAGGACTGTAGTTTGAAAAAGCCCTCCAAGAAATTGTGACACACTTCAAGACTCTCTTAAAGAAAATGGCCTTTGTCTATTCTTGTGAACACTCAATTCCGAAAACACCTAGTGAGCCCTTACCACAAGACAGGATCTGTGACAGATGTAGGAGAAACCACAATAACCAAAAAGAGATTCAAGGACAGCAAAAGCTTGGAGGAGGGAACACATCTGTGCACAATTATTTCATGTAATTGGTGTAAATACCATCACTAAACAATAATGAATGTGTTGAAGTAGAAGGCATTTAAAATTTTTCTGCAGTCAGAAAAGAGGGATTTAACCCCTGTCAAAATGGCAAAGATTAAAAATATAAAAAGTGATAAGTGTTGGCAGGAATGTGGTGAAAAGGGAACACTTCTACACTGTTGGTGAGATTGTAAACTGGTTGAGCCGCTGTGGAGAACAATACAAAAGTTCCTCAAAGATCTACAGATAGAACTACCATTTGATCCAGCAATCTCACTTCTGGGTATCTACCCAAAGGACAGGAGAATGCTCAGTAGAAAAAGTGCTTGCATATCAGTGTTTATTGCAGTTTTATTTATAATCATTAATAAATGGAACCAATCCAGATGCCCACAAACTGATGGATTGAAAAAGTGTGGCACATATACTCTATGGAATACTACTCAGCCATAAAAAATAAGACCTTGGCATTTGATAGAAAGTGGTCAGATATAGAGGCTCTATTGCTGAGTGAAGCCAGGATATGAAAGAAAGATATTGTATGTATCCACTTAATATATACCGACTCCGACTATCAACACTTTATAGTAGAGATTGGAATATTGGAGGGCACAAAAGCAGTGAAAATAGTTAGCAATGATAAGACAGTGTGAAACAAGGCAGGAGAAGAGAAGCATATAGAGAAGGATAACAAGAGAATAGAGAGGCATGACATTAGTGGGACAGAAATGGTTTATTATCGGTTGATAATGACATGTATAGTATTCTCAACTGGACAAGTCTGAGAAGTATTTCATGTTGGGTAAAGTCTTTTTACAAGCAAAATGATAAACAGTGATTGAATGTTTAAAAAAACAATTGAAATAATAATAATAATCTGGGGAAAAAAATTTAAAACTTGGGACCAGCAGTTAGTGTAATGGCTATGTTGCTAAACTCCCATGTAGCCAACTGTGGTTTGAGTCCCAGACCCGGTGGCTTAAACTCACGCTGGGTGCTTGTGCATGCGTGCCCAAGATCCTAAGAGGACAATGGAGGAGAAGGGATTGCAGCATGGCCATCCTCCTTGGGGGGTGATTTCTCACTTTCTATCTCTGTCTCTGTCTTTCTGGCAAGCACACACACTCTATAGCAAAAACCTCTCAAAAAAAAAAAAAAGAAAAAAGAAAAACTACGAGATGATAATGATGGGGATTTTAATGTCTTTGAATTGACTGATATGAATGGTATTTCTTCTGGAAAAAGAAATATAATCACTGCAAAGTTATATATGATTCAATGTAATATAAACAAGATTATAATAATAATAGAGAAAATAGAGTTTTTTGTTTGTTTGTTTGTTTTTGTTTTTTGTTTTTTGCTATAGGGTGTGTGCGCTCACCAGAAAGACAGACAGAGAGATAGAAAGCGAGAAATCACCCCCCAGGGAGGATGGCCATGCCGCAATCCCTTCTCCTCCATTCTCCTCTCGGGATCTTGGATTTCATGCACATGCACCCAGCGTGAGTCTAGGCCACCAGGTCCAGGACTCGAACTGTGGTTGACTACATGGGAGTCCAGCAACATAGCCATTACGCTAACTGCTGGTCCCAATAATAGAAATTTTTTTAAAAAAGAAAAGGGGGATTTAAAACCTATCTATAAAAATCTGAGCTGTTGTGTACAGTTAACAATCAAACCAGTTTGGTCTAAGAAAATTGCACCAAACAGAAACAATTTGAAAGATTGCATCTAGTAGGTAGGTAAGTGGGGGTAAATCTTTCCAGGGAGAGGAATAACGTATACAAAGCATTAACTGGAAGCATGAAAAAACATGGAGTCCAGAGTAATGCAAGTTCCACTCAGTATCCTCTGTGCTAGCTTCTCAGCTTTTCATTACAATGCTCAGAGGGGTCAGCAGATGGCATAGCCGTTACATCACTGGACTCCCACATGGCCAACTGCAGTTCAAGTCCCAGACCTGGTGACTTGAAAATCATGCCAGGCATATGTGCATTAGTGCCCAAGATCCTGGGAGGAGAGGGATTGTGGCATAGCCATCCCCCCCCCCCAGGGGGATGATTTCTCACTTTCCCTCTCTCTGTCTCCCCCCCCCCTCTCTCCAGTGAACACATGTGCCCTAAAGTAAAAACCTCTTAAATAAAATAAAATGCTCAGATGATATAAAAAAAGAGAGAGTCATTGGGAATAGGACTGTGAAGAAAAAAGACAACTTATAGAGTGGCATTTCCAGTAGATGAATCCCCACTAGGGATAAATAAAAACCATTTTAAACTCAGAGACTCATATTCTGTATTTTGAAAGAATAACGCAATCTTATAATTACAAACTAGGGAGGAACTCAGATTCATAGTAACGCCAGTCCCTAACTCCAGATATAGGCATCAAGGAGACGAAAGCATGAGTACCATCTGCTGTGGTTAAATTATGTCCCCCAGGAAGATATAGTGAAGTGCTGCCCTTGTATCTCCAAATGACCTTATTTAGAAATGCAATCTTGGAAGATGCAATTAAGATATAAGTTAAGGTTATACTAGAGTAGGGTCAGCCTTTAATTCATCATAACTATTGTCTTTATAAGAAGAAGAGATGGGACACAGTGACAGACATGCACAAACTAGAGAACTTCACGTGGACACAGATGTCTACACTGACTACCATGTGACAAGGGAGGTAGAAATTGGAATGAGGTAGCAACAAGCCAAGGAAAGCCCAGCACCTCCTGCAACACCAGAAGTTCAGAGAAAAAGGCATGGGACAGATTCTCCTTTAGAGTGCTCAGATAGACCATGCACCTGCTCACACCTTGAAATTTGAGGGAATAGATTTATCTTGTTCTAAGCTGCCCAGTTTAGAATAAGTTGTTACCGTAGCCACACACACACACAAAAAAAACTAATAAAACATCTTTTCAGTGAGTAAGAATTAGTCCTTTACCTAGCTCCTGATCATTTAGAGCTTAAAATACATCATATAGTTACTGAGCCAGTCTTGTGGTCTGGATGAATGGTAGATTCAAATCCTGTCCCTGATGGCTTGAGAAACAAGCCAGACACGTGTGTGTATGCCCAAAATCCAAAGGAGGGAAAATGGAAGAGAAGGGATGGTGGTGCACTCCATGGGAGGGGGGGTTGCTCTCTCTTCTCTATACCACTCTCTCTGAAGAGTATACACACCTTACCAAAAAATAAATGAAAATAATTTTATAATTATTTTTAAATAATTTTGAAATTATAGTTTACTTTAACTCACCACACACATTCTCAATTTAGAAACTATAACATTCAGTTGTATATGAATATCCAATTAAAGTTAAATAGAACCCCCTCTGTTGTTAGGGTCTTCTGCAAGTGGAAGCCAATAACCCATGAAGAATGTGTTGGTCCCTATTTTCTCCCCAGGTCCTTCTTTCCCAGGTAGTTAACTTCAGATGCCAATGCCTCTTAAATATG